AAAAAAAATATATCACAGACATTGAAACCATTCTAGCAAAGATACAACTTAGGTGGGCTGGTCATGTTGTAAGAATGGATGAGCATAGGCTTAAAAAAAAGGCGCTGTATGGACAACTACCAAACTCCAAGCGTTCAGTTGGACGTCCACGTTTACGCTACAGACAAATTGAAAAGCAACTTCAAACATTTTAACTTTGATCTGAAAACCTGGGAAGCCCAGGCATCAAACCGAAAGGAGTGGCGTAAGACATGTTTCATTAAGTTAAAGGGTTTTGAAGACAGTTGACTGAAGCACCGTGATCAGCTTCGTGAAGCTCTAAAGCAGAGACGCCATCAAAATCCTGCTTTAACAAATTTCATCTGTCAGTTTGGCTTTGTCGTCCGCAGCTAGGCTGGGCTAGTATCACACCTAAGAAAGCACAAATCAAATATGTCTTTCCCTTACCTGATTTTCTTCACAGTCGCCCCTGGTAGCATACATGTGTAAAACGAAAGACATCATCCACTGCTGACCTTCATTTATCGTTCACGATAGGCGAGTCCATTATAAGTGTTTCCAAAGATCCCCTTAAAAATCAGCAAAAAATGTTCCAAACTTAATAAGAACAAAGATTTATTGCCCAAGTCTCTGTGTTATTATTAAGAGGAAACACTAAACTATCTTTGATTATTAAATTATGTTTTAATCATTTTTAGAAACTTTTAAGTTTTGGTTAATTTTTTACTTGCTTCAGTGGGTGACCATAAATTTGTATAGGAATTTTTTAACGCCTTTTTTGCGGTGAAAAATAAATAATTTTCGGATTTTAATGAAACTTTCAGGACTTATCCACAAACGAATGAAATTATTTTAGAAATGTTTCTTTCATAGAAAATATTGGTAAAAATATGTTTTAACGTATGTTACCTCAAACCTTAATTTTATGAAATTTCAAGAAACTCATTTTTGTAGAGATTAAATTTTATATTCGCTATAAGTCCTTAAAGAATTTAAATCTTCATTTTTTTTTGTAAAACAGGACCCCCAATTACTGCTCTGAATCGTAAAATAAAAAATGCAACAAAACTAAAACATTATTTATCAGAAAATTAAATTGATTTTATAAATAAGATATATTGTAGATACTATTGTCTTCAGTAAAACATTTTTTTGATATTTTACAGGAATTATTTTCAGTTTTTTTAAATTTTAATTAAAATAATTATAAAGTTTGAAATCTTTTAAAATTCTATATTAATTTGTACCTATTAGATTAAAAATATATTTACTGATTATAAATGGAAAAAGCTTACCAAAATTCAACGACCCCCAGTATTTGAAAAAGAATTTTGAATTTTTTTCTGTGCATGTATAAACGTGCCGATTTTTGTAAATACGTAGGTCCGTACACGACATTATCAGAAAATAAGGGCGGTATCTATAGTACATTTAAAGCCAAAATACCTAATATTCAATAAAACACTAGATTATTTAGAATATTTTCCTAAATTTTTAAGATTACTGGTAATTATATAAATACGATGTTGTCATTATATTCGTCAAGTGTTTTTTGCAGATATGTTCTCCGTAAAAAAATATTCCAAACGTAAGTCGATCAAGATAGTTGTCAGCACTACCCGAAAACATCCACTTCTGTGTTAAAATGTATTCCTGCAATATTTGAAACCAAAAGTAATTAATATTTATTTCAAGTCAGATTAATTAAACTAATTCTCCTTAAAATTAAAGATTAATTTAGCTAATTCTCCTTAAATAAAATTTTCAGAAAAATATATTTTATTTTTAAACATTACATTAAAGAAGCAAACATTTCTCTGTAAATGAATTTAATTACTAAGTACCAAGATACATTGAGAATTTAATTTTGAAAAGCGATTATGTTTAAATTTCAAGCAATATTTGTATTTGCAAAAGAAAAAACTTTAGTTAAATAAGAATTAGCAGAGACAGACATCACTAGTGACTAATGATTAGTCGTGTTGAATATTTGTTTTACGAATTTAAAAATTTTAGATAAAATAAGGCTCGCTATAGATTTTTGCTTTAATAAAACTTAATTGAAGATTATTTACTTTTTATGTTAGTTATAAACCAAAAAAACAATGAAGTTTATTTTTTAAAGATTGGATAAAAATTATTTTCCATAAGATGGCCGAGTCAATAATATATATACACGCACGCGCGTGCACGTACACACACACGTTATTTATTCGAGTTAAAGTTTTAGCCGGACGAGCACACACACACACGAATATTTGAATAAATAAATATTAAACTTTTATCAAATAAGTGTGTTTACTATAATTATTCTTTTAAATTTACTTTGTTGCTTTAATATTCTTTTTTTAAGCTACGCTTTTATTTACTATAGATGTGAAAATAAATTCAAGAGAAAAGAAATTTTAAAAATACCTTCTTGTATAGCGCTTAACAGAATAAAAAATATAAACGAACGGTAATACGATTCGAGAATAAGAATTATTACCGTTCGTTTTTACTTTTTAGTTTTGAGTTTCGAATGTTTCCTAATGAATTTAAATTTTAAAAGATCTTCGTCAGTACAAAAACATAAGTTGATATTTTTTTTATAAAATGTTGGCTTGGGTGATAATGAGTCTGCATATAAATTTATTTTGTTACGAATTAGTGTAGTTTTTTTGGTTTGTTTTGTTTGTTTTTTGTTTTTTTTTGTTTGTTTTCTTTTTTTTTTTTT